ATTCCAAGATTTGGTAAAAGTAATGAATATTTATTAAATAATTATTTATTTTAAAATAATTATTATTACTTCGAAGACATTTAAATTTTTTTGAAATAAAAATTTCCGGAGTTTTTTATTTTAAAAAATTCTATATTAAAAATTCTTAAAAACCTTTGAAATTTTTTTTGAGTGGAGATCTCCGGAGATCTCCACCAAAAAAATTTCCTGATGTTAATAATAATATTCTGTTTCCCAAATAAGTATAAATGTAATAAACACAATAATTAATAATTTATAATAGTTTAAAAAGTTCTATAATATTCTAGGAGATTCTAGATATTCCATAAGGTTTTAGAAAGTTCTGGAATGTTTTATAGTATTTTGGGATATTTCAAAATGTCTTAAGGATTTCCAGTCATATGAAATATAATGCAATAAAAGCAAAAAAATTGTTACAGTCGCTTAAACTATAAAATTTATGTAAATAAAAGTAAAGTTCCCAAGGGAATTCCTAGTTTAACTCGATAGTCCATTCTACAGATTCCTTGCTACTTGTGGATATGGTTAGTAAAGTATAATTGATATTATTTATTATTGTGATAATTGTTATTGTTGTTATTGTTATACTGAAAAACTGATTTAAACTGGTTTGGTTTTTTCTTTGTTATTTTGACAAAATCTAATTGAATAATTGGAGAGTGATAATTATCTGAAGAGAGTAAACTGATTTTGGTTTTTTGAAAATTTTGAAATGATACAATAAATAGTGCCATGGTAAAGTTATATATGAAAATTGTATTAAAACAAACAATTAATTCAATAATTTTGTTTGAGTATATTTTTTAAAAAATGTTTAGTTTAGCAAATGTAATAATATTAATGTGGATAGTTTTTGTGATATAGTAAAAAGAAGGAGAGGTGCAAGAAAACAAAAGAAAAAAGAACTGTCACAAGCTTTTTTTTATATAACCAAAGGATAAACAAGACTTTTAAACTTGAGTAGATTTTAACCTAAGATCCCATCTTATTATATTAGTTGTCTTAAAGGTTTTTGAGCTGGGGCTTACTTGTGATAAAGAGTATTAAACATTTTTTTTGCTTAAAATTACTATAAAAGAAAATTTTTTAACAAAATAGATGTAATTAGAAGAGAGTTTTTAAAATAATGTATATATATTAATTGTTTTAGACTTGTATGAGCTTTGTATTTAGTAATTATTAAATAATAATATAGGTTTAGAAGTTGATATAGGAATTGTTATAAAAGAAGAATCAAATTATATATTATTGTTGTTAATTATTTTTATATTATTAATTATATTCTTTATAAATATTAATTAATAAATAATAAATCTTTAAGACAATTCTAAAATTATGATTAAATAAACTCTTAATTACAAAAATTTTTATGTATTCTTTATAAAAATCATTAATTTTATTAATAAAAAAAATTAGAATTACTTTATTTCAAATTTATTAAACAATTACAAATTATTATCAAAAAGTATTTGATAAACAAACAATTGACCATAAACTTTTTTTAAATAAGAAAATCATTATATATTATTTAGTAATATAATAAATTTTATATAATTTTTAACAACTGACTTGTGACAATATTATAATGTAAAAGATATTTAATATTAATATATTAATAAATAATTTAATATTGACTTGATATCAAAACAATATTATTAAAAACTTTAGATTTATTTATATAAATTTACACTAAATTTAAGCATCAAATTAATATTAAAGTAACATTAATAGAAATTTTAATACAATATATAAAAAATATAAAAATAAATTTCTTTTATTTATTTTTTAATTTTATAAATAATTTTTGGTAACAATAATAAATAATTAAAATTTTTTTTAAATAATTATCAAATATATAAATAGAACAAAAATTGATTTGAAGTAAACTAAAAAAAATTTTTTTTTCAATTAAATCAAACAATATAAAATTATTAATAAATAAAAGTATTATTAAATTGATATTTTCAATTAATAAACAATACAAACTTGTTTGATTATCAAAAAAAGAAAAAAAAACAAATTTGTAAATTTATAATTCAAAGTTTTTTCTAGTAATTTAAAATTGACATGATTGTAAAAGATATTTCAAATAATAGCAATGTTTTTAACAAAATATAATAAGCATGATTATATATTTATAGTTTTGTTTTTATATTGTTAAAAAAGTCAATAATTATAAAACATTTGATAGTTATTCTAATCATGTCAGTATAAAAAATAATCATAAATAACTAGTAATCTTAGGTAAGAGAAATTTAACAGTAACATATATAAGCATAAGATAATTTTCAATATATTTAGATGTCTTTTTAATAAAAAGAAAATTATTTAAATTTCAAGTATGTATTTGATTGTTTACTTTTTTAGTTCAGTTGATAAAAATGTAATATGAATTTCTGAAAGAGAATCGAGTGATGCACTATCTGCTTTACCATGCAATTTAACCATGACATACTTTAAATAACAATCATTCATTCGATTTTTAAAAACCCACATATTTAATTGTGCAACAATAAGTTTGATTTTCCATTAAAATAGTTACATTAAGAAAAATTCCAGCGTGCATAGCTTCAGGACACTACATCCATAATTCTTTTTGTTATAGCCTGGTGAGTTCATTTAAATCGTTTTTAATGGTTTTAACAAATTCCCAAACTGTTCTTTTTTCAATAAGCGAAGTTGAATAAAGATAGAAAGGGAGACAACAAAGATCGAGATGGAAATTTAACAAACAACGATACACGATATAATTCTAAGAGAGGTAAGTAGCGTAATTAAATTTAGAAAAGTAATAAACGAGCATATTATTATACGTATTTTGCATTTCTAAGGAAGGCAAGTAACATAAGCCAAAGTTTTTATATAACAGTGGAAGAATGAATACTACTGTAATTATTAAATACGTACGTAATTAGAATAATATAATATATTAATATTAACGAAAGTTGATTGTAAATGATTTATGTAATACGTATGACGACAATAAGACAATATATTATGTAATGGTTTCACCGCGATCTATTATACAGTACAGTAGTAGTTTATTTATTTAAATCATTGTATAAAATCCAATAAAATAAAGATAAGTTTTTTGTAAAATCAATTACAGTATTGTACACGCCTCATAAAATCCCTCTCCACCGTTACGCGAATCTGAGCTAACTTTAGCGATATATTACCGATATCTGTACAGTATAATCATCCGGAAAAATAAGCAAAAGGATTCAAATCTAAATACTTTATTTCTAGGTTAATTGGTTAATGTAATAGATGTTTCATTACTCAGACCAGCTGAGAAAAATTTCTTTGGTAAAATATTTTGTGATCATTCCGTCCTGCTCTTATCACCCTTCTCATTTGTATTGTCTTTCTCATTATTACCTTTTTGCTCATCATTACTAATCTCCCCCAAGTCTATTACGGGCATTCTTTCCCCAATATATTCATCGTCTACTTCATCATCATTGGCACCAGGTCGGTCCAGATACACAAAACTTCCCAGATTTAATAAAGGTCTGGCGGGAGCCACCTTGGGCTCGGGACCACCCAGCAACACGTGTTCAAATATGAATCTCACCACGTATATGAAGTCTTTGATCACGTCATACGGATTTATGGCGTCTAGTAGGTATAATATTAATGAGGAGGGTTTGGTAGATGAAGGTTGGTCACGATATTCTTGAGCAGAGAACGCCTTCAGTTGGAGTATGGAGATTAAAAAGAATTCCACGGACACGAGTATAGATTGGATTCCAGTTGACACGTCGTCAGCAGTCCTTTGAAAAGATTTGATCAGGAAAGATCAAATATGTATACTATATGTATATAGTTTTGTAATAAAAAGACGTTCTTTTTTTTTTTTTACCACGAATCCCTTAAATTTTCTTACCAATATTCCGTTGATGATAAGAAGTCTTGATTATAAACAACGATTAAAAACAGGGATCAATTAAATAATGTACTCACTCAACCAATTTACGAACAATAATCATAATTGTCTTACTTAACGACACCAAAATACTTAGGGCGTGGCCTGTGATGGCATTGGGGATGAAAACAGTATCAAAATCAAAAACGATGATCCATTAAAAAACAAAACAAAACAAAATTCTACCTTGATATGTAACAAAGAAAAGGGCCTGTCAAAAAACAAATGAAATTACAATGATTTGTTAGAATCAGAAAACATTCTCCACGGAGATCCTTCAATCGCTAGAACTTACCCAGTTAATGCAGACATCTTTTAATGTTAATTGTTGGTGCGCTAAATCGTCTCTAACAGTTACGAAAAGAATATTCTGAATAATTAGAATTTTATCGAGATTAGTCGGGTGCAGATTACATATTTTCTAAACCCGATCTTTTTATTTCTCCTAACCTTCTACACTCTTCAACGCAACTTACCATACTCATATTCGCAATTACTGAAGAAATTGTCTGCACAATTACCAAATGAATCTGCGGGAAGTAAATTGACCAACTTGCTTTGCAATATATACCAACCGCCTCCAATATTAACGTAATGAATGTGGTCGCATACAATATAAACACATACTGTATCACCGAGATTTTTAATGCCGGCAAGAACAATGGGTGTTTGCTAGGATTGAAATGCCAACAACATAGAGGAAATGGCATTCGAGTGGATTGAACGCTGGAAATTTTTGTTTTTCGGTCGAGCTCATTGGGGCCCAAATATTCCAGGAGCAGATAAAAGAATGAAATGATGGCAGCGGCTTGGTAGGCATCGCGTATGGTGGTGAAGTAGACGGACTGATAGATAAAGAGATAGGCGAGTAGGTCGAATACCGTGTACACCGGGACCATTAATAGCAGCCGGACTATTAACCTCTGTTCTTTTGGCTTGTATGACAAAATTTGATTAACACAGTACAGTACAATACTGTAGTAAGAATTCAATACAATACGTAGTGTTCAAAGTGAGGGTTTAACCACCTTAGTATAGTTTTTCAAATGTTGAAAGATTAGCATAAATGTTAGCACACATGCTAAAAATGTAAACGCTGATGCCACTATCCAACCTGTAGCATACACTTTAAAAACAACGGATTTTTGTGTTTAAAATTTATTATCTCTTTTTCGGGCTCACGAAAATAGTGTAATGACTTACACGGCAGGTGAAAATTTCCATATTCATCGTGAAATGCCTTGTATCCAAAAGGATTCTCCACAGAAGGTTCCCGCGGGCATGTCCTGTTGAGTAATACGTCCATTCTTGTATTTTTCTTGGTATAAAATTGGTTGACATACAATATATGCAACGTGGACTTGGAAACCTTTGTGAAAACAAATTATTGAACTATGGATTTGGGAATGTAAAGGTTGTTGAAAACTCGTATCGATTCACTAGAAGTTCAATGTTTTCAAAATAATTCAAATCCTGTAGATGCAACAACGATAATTAGTGATGAACAGAATTCGGAAAATCGCGAAGTACTGTACAGTACGTATATGAGAACCGGATGAGTTTCTCCGTAAGCCACATTTACTCCGGCCATATAAGCCACGTAGACGAAATTACTAAGTAGTAGTAAGTAACCATAAGCAAATAAAAACATGATAAAATCATGTTTTTGGAAATTTGAGGAATGAAATGTTTGGTATTTATAAATGAGATCCATGGAAGAAGAAACCATTGCACAAATAAAGAATCATTCCATCCTACACCATGCGTCGGTTTCATTGGATTAATCTTCTGTGAACGGACGAACGGGAATCAATTTTAAATTCCGTTCAAAATATAGTAATTAAAATGAAGCCGAGTTAACTACTTTGTTAATGGCCGTGTAAGCTGTGCAAGAACTGGGAGATATTCTTAAGTGACAGTAATGATTGAAAGTGTCGATCGAAGAATTTATTGCTTTCCTAGTCTTTGAATTCATTACCACTCAACTCAATCGATACGATCAATGACATTCTTTGGAAATGAAGGAACGAGAGTCTCTGCAAATAAGTACGCACGCACGCACGCACGCACGCACTTGTGCGCTTACGACATTGAGGCTTAGACAGAATTACCAAGCGCAATGTCATGAGATCGTCACTATGATGCTCAATGAGCGGATTCTTGTTATAAAGTTGTTAATAGGAATTTATCATATTATGTACGTACGAGAATCCTGTGTCATCCCGTGCAAAAATGGTGTCTGGGCGTATATATGAAGATATAGAGTACCTACCTAACGAGTACAGTATAGTACTTTGCATAAAACCGTAACTGTATTCATGACGCAGACGATATAATTTAATCGACTGCGTGTTAACAGGTAATTTACCTAGTATTCTTAACACAGGAAATGTAATTAATCAATTGCAAGAATGGAAATGGATATAAAATACACGCAACTACTAGGTTTCTTTATATAGTAAACATCGAAGAACCAATACATGCATATTGCGTTCATAACAAGTTTTGTTAATCGAGATTTGTGTTCATATACAGTAAGAGGAATCCAGTAATCGATCAACGCACGGTAAAAACAATGAAAAAAAAAAAAAAAAAAGCTTTCATATTTCAAAAGAAATTTGCCGTTACTAAAGCAACTCTGAACAAAAAAAATGGCAGATCTAGAAGTGGGTGAGCCGACCTACCAACAAGACCGAAGGATACTTAAAATCATTTTAGTATGGCTACTGGGAGGCATCGCATACATTTGCGTCTATTATTCGATATTTGATCAAGTACCTTTCTACTGGTTCCATTACGATAAGCATCGTCACGATTCTTTCCCTTCAGCTGCGCACAACTCAGAACCATTCTATGATTCTTCACCCTCCACCGCGAATAACCCAGAAATTTATTATGATCCTCCACACTCCACCGTTCATGAGTCGAAAACTCTTCATAATTCTCCACCTTACACCACGCATGATTCTGAAATTCTGCATGATTTTCCATCTTCCGCCACGTATAATTCAGAATCGCCTTCGCCGTCACAGACCCCTAATGATGCATCCCCAGAATCTCCAAAGCATCCATTGTCACATCTTCATCAAATATATGTTGTGAACGCTTATTACGTTAGGTTCTATACACCTTCTTGTTTTTCTTCTTACTATCTCTCGGCTAACATGAGCACCAGCGTAGAACCCGGCATTACGAACAGTTCGAATGTTAATCCAAATTCTACACAAACGACAGAAAAATCCGTAAAGTTATCTATATCCTCAGAAAATATTACCATCTGTTACCAAAGAATCCACTTGGAGCATCTGCAGTTCTATGAGGAATTATCGAAAAAAGGAATCACGATAAAAATTAGACATGAATTTTGGGATTTGATCAATGTGGTGAGCATTGAGTTCGAAGAGAAACACTTGGATATTGTGAAGAGTATCAAAGGTGTCAAGAGTATTCAGAGAGTGGTATGTACGTATGTTAATTCGATTTTCTTCGAATTTCAATCTGACGTTTGATTTCCGCCAATAGTATAATCACCGGATAATTCCTCGGGCAATCGAAAGCCCATTCGTGGAATCTAAAATCATAAATAAAAAACGTGATGATAACGGTAATTCCTATTCAAAAATCCTGTTCATATATTTTTCTTGAATTTGTTTTTTTTTTAAAGTAATTTAAATTTACGTACAAAGAATCATTGGAGAAGCGGGAATGGATCCCGGATGCAAAAATTGAATTCGCTCCTGGAAATGATGTAAATTCAATTCATAATCTCACTGGAGTTAAACTGGCCCGTCAATATTATGGTTTAACCGGGAAAGAGATTAAAGTCGGGGTCTTGGATAGCGGTAGGCAGTCATTTGCTATGATCTCACCAATTTGATAAAATGCTTCACTCCGAATCTCCTACCGTAACACAGGGATAGACTACACACACCCGGCACTTGGCGGATGCTTTGGTGAGGGTTGTCGAGTACGCTATGGCTATGACTTTGTCGACGACGACCATGATCCTGGAGATGATTGCATCGGTCATGGAACTCACGTGGCCGGTATCATAGGAGGCGACGATCGTAGACCTGAAGGAACTGGGTTCACGGGTGTTGCACCTGATGTGATATTTGGAGCTTATAAAGTGGTGAAGTGTAATGGATATGCCCCTAATGATATTATATTGAAAGGAATGCAAAGAGCTAAAGATGATGGGATGGATATTATTAATCTCTCGCTTGTATGTACATTCCATGGCAATGAGTTTAAGTTCGCGTTAAAATTTTCATTACTTACTATTTCTTTATTTTTCAACAAGTCAGGAGATGGGTGGGCCGAATCACCGACGTCGGAGATGGCCGACATTCTTGCAAAATTAGGAATTGTCGTGGTAGCAGCAAACGGAAACTATGGTACCAAAGGGCTCTGGGAATCCGGTGTGCCTGCTATAGGGCTTGATGCTATATCTGTTTCGTCAGTAGAAAATACCCATCTTACAGTGCACAAAGCGTTTGTCACCAGTAATCGATCTATTGAAATTGGTTGGTTATCTATTACATTATCGAATTCTTGATTCTGGGATTTGTTCTTCACTAATGATGCGTAATATCGTGAGATAGACTACATAACCAAACTTGCAAGACCTTTTCCACTGTATAAGGTTAAAGTAGCTGTGTACTCAAACAACAAATGTTTAAAAGATTTTTCTGTCTATGAATCAAAGATACTCGTAATCGATCTTGCAAATTTACCGAAGAATTGTACATTAGCGGTAATTTCCAAAATTCTATTCTTATTTTCCATGTAATGCTTCTATCTAATTCCACAATGAATATTTTAGTCGTCTAAAATACAAAAATACGTTTCTGGAATATTCGCATTAGAAAGTAACTCTTCACTTCCTCTATATCCTATGTTAACGCTACCTACGCAATTTACTGTTCCCTATGCGACCTTGATCCCCAAGCAATTTCATCAACTTGTTGCACTAGCCGCGGAATTTCCTGAATTGGAATTGGATTTCTCGGACACTTATACTTACTTGATACCTAATGAATTTGGAAAAGTTGTTTCACCTTTCGCGTCTTGGGGTTTAACTCCTGAATTGGATATTAAGGTACTGTGCAAAAATTCAAGAAACAATATCATTCTTCGCTTATTTTTATTCACAACCCCTTATGAATATTATAATCTCTGTTAAACCTTTCGCCTGGTAAATAACAATAAATAGCCAGTGAGTATTTATATCCTTTTCTAGTTCTTTATATATGTCGAAAAATTTTTTCTGATCTTGGAATTCACGAATCAAACCTTTACACCTGCAGGAACTTTCAGCGCCCGGAGGAATGATATTCTCACTTTATCCTCTAAAGTATGGTGGATACTCCATGATGTCTGGAACTAGCATGGTAATTGTGGCTCTTTATTTTCAGGATTTTTTTTCGACACAACATCTTTAGTGAACATCATTATTCTCAATCACATCTTAGTCTACACCTTATGTTACGGGATCTGCAGCCTTGTTGCTAGAAAAACATGGCTATCAAGGTCCAAGAGCCTCTCTGCTAATCCGTCAGGTGCTCATGAATTACGCCATACCCACTGTCGATGTAAAAAATGAATTCGCCTCAGTACTTCAACAGGGTGCCGGCCTCATTAACATATACAACTCCGCCTCCGTTTCAACATTGATCACCCCCGTAAAACTAGCATTGAATGACACGCTCAATGGAAATTTCAGTTGGCGTCCATTGTGGATTTACAATGGAGGAAATAACCCAAGGAATTATACACTTTCAAATCTTCCGGTGGTTTCTGTGGATGGATATGTTAATGGGACTCGTAGCGCTTCGTACAAACGGATGAAGTTCAATAATCAAGTGATAGCAGATGTGGAGTTTCATGAAAGTTTCGTGACAGTTGAACCGGGAGAGAACAAAAGTGTATTGATAAAGATCACTCCGCCGAAGGTCAGCGGCACGAGCCGTTGGTTTTACAGTGGATTTATTTTGGTGGAGTCGAGGAACGACGGTGTTAATCTTACCGTTCCTTATGGTATGTGATATTTGTTCGATTCCTGATGCGAATCTCAAGGTTCAAAGCCAACTTAGCTAATTTACAATATTGTCTTACTTGATGAATAAAGCCGGATATGCATCAGCAGTAAGAGAACTTCCAATGATGCCTTTACCAACCTATCCACGACTTTTAACATCCTCTTTAAAAGTGGTGCCCGAAAATGCATCTGCCACCTTTAGCATGTATGGTTATGACGTCCCAATTGTCCAATATGTTTTATCAACTCCTACTCGTTATTTGCGTGTTGACATTCTCGACGAAAATAAGTCCGTATTGTTTCTATACGCAAAAGCCAATTACGTGAGCAAATCTCGATTGACCAAAGGAATTCCGCTGTTTTTTTATTGGGATGGTTCGAACGGTTATAAAAGTCTCAAGAGTAATAAATCCTACGAGATCGTGCCGGATGGAATTTATCACATAAGGTTGAGTGCGCTGAAGTTGTTAACAGATCCTGAGAAGGATGAAAGTTGGGAGAGGTGGATTTCTCCCGAGATAATTGTAAGCAGCCATTAAGTTTGTCGATTGAAGGAAAGGGCGGTGACAGTGAGAATGGATTAGTGACGTGATGGAAGGATGGAAATATGAAGTTCTTTTCCGCAATTTCGGGGCTCTTACTAAATTCCAAGAAAAATAACTAATCTATTTATGGTGTAAATTATTCGTGGTTTAAATTTTTCACCATTGATTTAATCCACTTCTTTCTTGATTGCAAAAAATCCTTCTAGAACATTTCCTATTAATAACAGAAACACTATTTATTCTGATAAAATTTATTATTGCACGAAACGAATTGTTGATTTTAGAAAAATTTTTTTTATCAATCGACATTAAAATTATCATTAAACGAACGATACTTGACACGTATAAGACCTTTAAATGCCATAAAAAATATCTGCTCTATACTGTTCATCATATACACAATATATTATGTATTGTAATGTGAAGGATGTTTATGCGAATGGCAATTTTTCTACGTAGTAGCTGACATTATTATATTGCATTTGGAAATATCGATAAATAGTTTTTATCAAGATTTAAGTTTATGTGTAATATATACATATATATATATTGCTTTGCTTTAATGACGTGGAAAATTTACTACAGTATTACGTATTTCGAGTCTCAATTATTTGCATTAAATAAAATGATTCATAAAATCAATATGTTTTTATATTTCTTTCTTTAAGGGTATTACCTTTTATTCTAAGATGCCTAAGAAAATCAAAAAACCGGGTTCTTTTTTTAACGGGATGCAAGTTTTAAATTTTTATGGCCCCTTAAAAAGGTTTATTTTTTTTTTAAAAAAAAGTTAATTCCAACTTGTTACGTAGTATCTTTGACGCGAGTAAGAATTCCAGAATTAAAATACTGTAAACATGTAATAATCGTGCCCTGTTTAATACTATATCATAAACGGTTCATCGGATTTATCAGGTAGCGTAAGTGAAAGTCATACTCTCACTGGAACATTGACTTTCGATCTTGGAAATGCGCGATGGATTTCTATTGATGGATGTGTCTTTGAAATATACAGTAATCATAAATACATGTAGGTCACGTGGTTAAATTAATGGTTGATTTAATGGGATGAAATATCATAGATGACTTTCACCGTACGTTCGGGACAAAAAAAATGACAATACCTCTGTTTTCTCTTCGACAGACTTACTACTACGATAAAGTAATTAATTGGTTTCCAGGTCACATGGCAAAGGGCTTAAGAGTGATATCAGAAAGGTTATCAACTGTAGACGTTATCGTTGAGGCAAGGGATTCTAGGATATCCTTTGTTATTGGAAAAGTTTGATAAAAACCTCGGAGAAGTGAGCGATGTATTATCATTAATTTTGCACGAATATTTTTTGTAAGTTTACATCCCTTTATCGTCCATAAACAATAAGTTCGAAGAAATCACAAGATTCAAAGAACGAATTATTGTCTATAATAAGTGTGATTTGGCAGAAGAGAATACTCAAGGTGTATGTGTGATGCCAACGTACTTTTTGATTTTTTTATCGATTATATTTTTACCTGGTTTCTCTTTTTATAAGACGATAAAGGGTGCATTCAAAAAATATCGCAACCAAGATGTGATATTCACGAATGCCAATATGGACAAGAATGTTAAGAAGATTGTCGATTTTGCCGCAAGTGCGCATTTTCTATATTTTCACTTCTGATTCATTTTTAAGAAATTATTTATCACATTTGAATAACGCTTATGTGAAGATAAAGCAAAAGAGAATCCAGAGAAGTATCCATTTGTCATGGTGATGGTAGTAGGAATGCCGAATGTCGGAAAGTCATCTCTGATAAATTCCATGCGAAGGATTGGCGTTCATAAAGGTGGAGCATAATTTGTCATAATATATATATATATATAACCTCAATGCTGATACATGAAGTCCTAATAGGAAAAGCAGCAAGGACTGGAGCACTACCGGGAGTGACAAGATCAGTATCAGGGACAACTATCAAAGTGTTGGAAAATCCTACTGTCTATTTGATTGATACTCCTGGTAAAAATTTTTTTCATCATTTCTTTGTGAAAGTGATATTAATTCTGAATAAATGTGTAGGTGTGATGATACCGCATATTCCAGATCCAGTACGTTCTTTAAAGGTCGCGTTAACAGGTATCTTGAATAGTTCCTTTGTAATTGACATCACACTCTCTGATATATATGGCAGAATATTAATCTGAACACGTTTTTATAGGTGGCATAAGAGATCATTTGTCAGATGAAGAAGTAATGGCAGATTATTTGCTCTGGAGATTAAATCATTTTGGAAACTTTAGGTATTTGGTGACGAAGTATTATTATTATGGCTACTCCTATAGAATAAGTTTAAAGAGTATCCAATCATTACAGTTACGTCGAAAAATTCAAACTTCCCGGTCCAACCGATGACATTTACTCACTTCTTCCAGCGATCGCAAAACATATCGGAGCCTTACATAAGTATGGTGAATACAATTTGCAACAATCTGCTATGTTCTTCATCAAACAATACAGAAATGGGAAATATGGCAGATATACATTAGACGATGTCTCGCCGGAGGGACTAAAATCATATTTCGAAAATGATGACGATCCGGGAAGGGAAATAATGATGAGTAGGAATCAAGAGAAAAAGATGAAATGGGCAGCCGCCACAGAAAAAAGATTAGAAAGGTGGAAGAAAAAAGGGTTTGTTGTGGGAAAAGGAAAGAAATAATATACATAATATAGTGAAGTTCAGCAGAGTTTTTTTTTTATTGGTGATAGAAAGAACAGAATATTACTGTACAAGATTGATGAAAACATTGGATAAGTAATAGATATAATGCCAACGAGTTGTTAAGATGAATATGGCATTGCCTTTTTAAATGTACAAACACTCAAGGTTGGTTGAAAAAATATGATCAACATATTTTATTCATTTTATCATTTTCAAGGTAATCGTATAAACATATTTGGTAATACAGAGAAAAAAAGAAAAATAATGAAATGAAAATGAAATGATATCGATATCTAGATAGAATTATATCTATTAATTATCTGAAAGACTTCATAATCCTCAACGGAAAAGGCACTGACAAGTTTCCTGAGGGGTTTCTCGTAATATTCCTGTTTACAAGTGGATTTACATTCATCCTTGAAGTTTTTTCCTTGGATCCTCAAATCACCAAACCATGGACCGGCATTATCATGATTTAGTACTGCATAGTTTTCACGTATCAACCTACTCCACACAATCTTCTCAGGATCCTCGCTATCAAAACTAAATATGAAAGCATTTTTTGCGTATTTGTATCCACCAGAATTGGGACCACAGGACCAGCTGTACGGATTATATCCACCCAGTATCTCGCTCGTTCCACTCACTTTTATTATTACTACTGTCGCTCCACGGTCATCACAACATCTGTGAAAGTCTTTTGGCGTAAATCCATCTCTATTTCCTCTTAACAGTAAATTAAAACTGTACGGTGAATTTTTATAACTTTGATACGTCTCAAATCCATAATCGCAATCTGATACATTAAAGTCGATCCAACTCGAGATCAGGGACGCATGTCTGGTGGTAATCAGGTTGGAATTAATCGGTCCCCGTCGTGGAGATGAAAGTGAATTGCTTGGTCGAAGCTTCCTGAAAAAAGTCGATATAATAGATCTGTAATGATCCGGAGAAAAAATTTTTTCGAATGGTTCAACCCTATTCCAGAACTCTTCTTTTGGAATGTGATTGAATTTTAGTAGCGGAAGAAATTCTCGCAGTCTTTCTTTTAAATTGGAGAAATCTTTATCTTCCCAGGATTCTGTGGTAAATCTTTCTCCTTCACCGGCAGTCAATGGGACCTGCGCCATTCCCCATTTAATGACATGCATCCAAACATCAAGTTCTTCGAACTGTAGGTCGTGTCTCTTCAGCAATTCCCTCAGTACATCTTGAGGCAATTCGCAAAAATCTTCGGACTCAAAAATACAAGTCGGTTTTTCCTCAAGAATTCTGGTACAGAAATTTTGCAAATGACCAAATGAATGTGAATTTGATACTTTGTGGACAGTGGAAAAATGACATGTTAACCAATCTTTATGGTTTTCGATGAGTTCCATTTGCATTACTTTAAATAGATCTGTGATGTTGAATTCATCAAATGCTTCGAGAAGCTCGAGGATTACGATCGGTTGATGATCGGATAAGTTCAATAACCCCCCATACATATATCTGTAGTTAAAGCAAACGTTGTGTAAATATTCAATTAATGATAAAGAATGAATTGTGTTCTCGTTTCTTACCTGATTATTATTTCAAATACTTCAGGCTTTATATTAGGTTTTTCAAACGTAAGTAGATCTCCCTCGGATTTTGACCAATTTGCCGATAACGCTCTATCAAAATATTTCGACCTTGCACTCAATATCACCGAATGCGCTTTAAATGTTTTACAGCTGTCACCCTGGCCAACTGTGATTGACAAATCACAATATTTTTGCGTCTCGAGGAATTTTATAAAATCTCGAGATAGATTGACATAATTTTCTTCGGACATTGTGAGATAGATATTTTGAGATTGAAAATTTTACGTCCATCTGATGTGTTATAAAATTATCTGAATCGGAGTGTGTATCCCGAAAAATATTTACAGTGTCTTTGATGACCTCCAAATACGATCACAGCTATGCAGTGCCACCATTGAACTGGATTACTGGATTGGGGCCACCATTGGAACTGGCGTGTTGTCCTTCTACAACGGTACACTCTTTGGGTATAATTTTATTAATTTTATTAATTTTATTACATAATCAAAGAAAATATGTAGAATCTTTGTTGTAAGTACAATGAACAAGATTTCGGAAATACGAACATAATTATACCTTCTTTCCCTACAACCTTTTAATTTTTCCGTTTATATTTAAAATGTTTGACAAAAATTATATTTGTACATTATTAATTTTTTTTAAAAGAATGTATATTCAATATACGTCTTGAGTTACGATTATTTTATTCTATATTTTTATTCAGAATTAATAAATAAAAAAACAATAAATTTTTACCTTTTTATGTCCATTTTTTGAATTAAAAATTTTATATCTATAAAATACTGTAATTACAAAATTTCTAATTTTAATTAATCAAACTTTTTTATACAAGTTATAATCAAATATTTGAAAGTTCCACATTAAATAGATAATTTTTATTATATAATTATAGTAAAATAATAACATATGGATTTAATTAATCTTAAGCTCTTTCTGCTAATATTTTTTCCAATTAAAAAAAAAAGATATTTCAAAGAAGTTTTAAAAATCTTTTTGTAATAAAATTCACTTACTTTTCTTAATAACATCATTATTCAAAATTTTAGTTTTCTTTTTTTATTATTTATTTTATCTTTGAAATAGATTTGTAAGTGAATATAAAAGAAAATCTATTTATAAAATCAAAAGCAAAAAAACCTTAATATATAAAAATATTTTTCTTTTCAAAGATTCAAGTCTTTAAAAAAAATGGTTGCATAATTTTAAAATTTTATATTGTTTTTGATTTTTTTGAAATTTGTTTATTTCAATATCAATATTTCTAAACAATAATTTGTTAAAAATTTGAACAATTGATTAATATTTAGCAAATATATAAAAATATTATATTCATATGATTTATTTTATATAACAACAAATTTAATAATATAATTAATTGTAATAAAATAGTAAAATATTGAAATATTTATTTGGTTTAAAATAATTTATTTTTTTTTTCTCTTATATTAGTTTTTTAAATTAAAAAAATTTTTTAATTTAGTTTAATAATAATCTTTTTGTTAATTATTTTGAAAAATATTTAAACAATAAGATTTTATAATAAAAAAATATAAAATATTTTTTCTTTGGAAATTAAAACAATTATTAGTCTCTTGTTTATTATATAATCTTGAATAGTATCTAATAAAAAATTAGAAATATAAGTAATGTCTAAATATATGAGGATGTTATAATCAAATATATATATTTGTTTTCAAGTTATAATTAAAATTAAATATATTTTATTTAAAAGTTAATATATAATAAGTAAAGTTAAAATAAAATAAAAATAAGTTGATTATTTTTATATATAAAAGTATTAAACTATTTTATATAGATTTATTTTTGAATTATATAAAAAATTTGATAAATTTATTTTTTAAAATGATTTAAATATTTAATAAATAAAAAAAATCATAAAATTATATAGATATTAAATTATTAACATATTTAATATATATATGTAATATATATTATTGTAAAAAATATATAAAAAATTATTAATTGATAATATTATTTTTTTAACAAATATAATCAAAATTTTTAATTGATATATATTATTTTATTATTATATCTTTATTTTATTTTTTTTTTATTAGAGTAGGTAAACACCATTTCTTTATTTATTCGTATATTACAAGGTATACATTTAGAAAGAAACAACATCTCTCACGT